GGCGGCGGCGGCGGCGGCTGGGGGCGGCGGCGGCGCGCTGGAGGCGGCCATGGCAAAGCAGTACGACTCGGTGGAGTGCCCTTTTTGTGATGAGGTGTCCAAATATGAGAAGCTCGCTAAGATCGGCCAAGGCACCTTCGGGTAAGGCTGAGCCCCGAGGGACTGGGAGCCCTGGGCCTGCACCCCTCAGGGCTGACGCCGGGAGGCCCTGGGCCAGGTCCGAGGTGGTCGGGAAGCCACCGAGCCCCAGGCTTGTGCCTTGCTCTCGCTAGGCCGCGCCGCAGCCCGCCGGAGCCTGACAGAGCCGGCTGGCGGGGAGGAGCCTGAGGCCCGTGCTGGGGGGCGGGGAGGGGTTGCAGAGGGGAGCCCGTGAGGGGAGCGAGATCTTTCCGAGAGACGCCCGGGTGAGGAGAAGGGACTCAGAGAAGGAAGTAGAGGCTCGGAGAGGAGCCGCAGATACCGGGTGGTGGGGTAGCTGAGCGCCCTGGGTCCCCGGCCCGGCCCAGCCCCGCCCGGGAGTCCCTTCTTTCCTGCCCTCCTCCTCTGCAGGGGGAGGGGCGGGCCCTGCGGAAGCGGCCTGATGAGCCCTCCTGGGTCCCCTTCTCGGCCTGCAGGGAGGTGTTTAAGGCTAAGGACCGCAAGACCGGCCAAAAAGTGGCTCTGAAGAAGGTGCTGATGGAGAACGAGAAAGAGGGGGTGAGTACGGGTCGGGACGGCGGGCCTGCCAGCTCTCCTGGGCACGGGGTTGGGTTTCCATCCAGCATCTTCGAGAACTCTCACGTTGAGATTCACTGTATGTGCGGCAGTTCGGGAATTTCCATATCCCAGGGAATTTGACTTCCAAATTAAATCTTTTAATTCAAACATTTTAAAACATTTGATATTTCATTCTTAGGTAAATATGCTTGGGGCCAGGAGGGGGAGCTCATGCTTGCACTGAGTGCAGCTTGGTTCCTGAAGTTAGGTGGCCTTTAAACACTTGATAGCATGCAATTTTGTTTAATATAAAAAAACTACATGCAGTACTTTTAAAAGGATAACTAGTGCTCAATTGAAAAGGAGTAACCTGGTTGTGTCCCCTCCCTCCCATCTTAGCTCTAGTCCAGCTTCCCAGAGACCTGCTTCTTAGCAAGGAAATTTTTCTAATAGTTATTTTTGTTGGTTTTGTTACCAGCCAGCAAGTTAAACACAGGCATAGAGCTAAAATTTGAAGGTTGAAGAAACTATGAAGCATTTAGTGATTAGTAGTAAAGTGTTCGTGTTAAGTACCGCTATTTGAATTCATTGTCTTAAACCAACTCCTTGAGGGTGCATACCGATCTTAGATCTATTTTACAGCTAAGGCATCTGAAAGCTGATTTCAGAGCCTGTGATTTTACTCTGTCTCCCAACCTGTGCTCCTGAGGACTGATCTCATGGCTGGTTCCTTGGTCTGTAATGTGCTCACTCACTTGTGACCCCCTCCTGTCGTTCTCCCCCTGCAGTTCCCCATTACAGCCTTGCGGGAAATCAAGATCCTCCAGCTTCTAAAACACGAGAATGTGGTCAACTTGATTGAGATCTGTCGAACCAAAGGTAAGTCTCTTGGATCTCATCGCCTTTTTCAGACGGAGAAAATGAGCCTTGCAGCCTAAGGCTGTGTTTGCAAAGTTGGAACTGGACACGCCTCACTTGCCTGTTCTTAACCCAGACATACCAACTGTGACTGCTTTCTCTGGTCCTTTCATCGTAGCTGGTGCTTCCCCAGGGCCTGCCACAGCACCCGGCCCAGAGGAGGCACTCAGGAAATACTTTACCAGTGAAGGAATGCACAACCGGATGTCCGGGTGTCCATGGGTTGGAGGGGGTAGGAGCTGGTTGTGGGAAAATGAGTTGCATGTGGGATTCGTAACTTTCTTTTTCTTGCTCCCCTCCCCCGATTCTTCCTGCCTCAGCCTCCCCCTATAACCGCTGCAAAGGCAGTATATACCTGGTGTTTGACTTCTGTGAGCATGACCTTGCTGGGCTTCTGAGCAACGTCTTAGTCAAGTTCACGCTGTCTGAGATCAAGAGGGTTATGCAGATGTTGCTCAACGGTCTCTACTACATCCACAGGAACAAGGTGGGGACAAGAGTGGGAGAAGAAAGGCCAAGGCTTGGGCTGACCTTTGCTCTCACTGCTGGGTGGGTGTGGCTAAAGGACCCCTGGTAACCTGACTGAGCCCTCAACCTTGTGCTTCCTGCAGATCTTGCACAGGGACATGAAGGCGGCTAACGTGCTCATCACCCGTGATGGAGTTCTGAAGCTGGCAGACTTTGGGCTGGCCCGGGCCTTCAGCCTGGCCAAGAACAGCCAGCCCAACCGCTATACCAACCGTGTGGTGACGCTCTGGTACCGGCCCCCGGAGCTGTTGCTCGGTGAGGACTCCCGAGCGGGCAGAGGGGGCCAGGGACTGGGCACTTACCCGGCCTCACCCCCCCACTGCCAGGGCTTCCTGAGCCGCTGGCCCTGGGACATTGCGTCTCAGGAGGCCCTCGGGCTCAAGGGGCCCTCCTGGTGCGCTCTTCTTCCCAGGGGAGCGGGACTACGGCCCCCCCATTGACCTCTGGGGTGCTGGGTGCATCATGGCGGAGATGTGGACCCGCAGCCCTATCATGCAGGGCAACACGGAGCAGCACCAGCTCGCCCTCATCAGCCAGCTCTGTGGCTCCATCACCACTGAGGTGGGTGGCCAAGCTACCTGGGATGCAGAGATCCAGAAGTCTCCCTGGCACGGGAGGAGTGGGGAGTGGAATAGAAGGAAAGCTCCTCTTTGGAAACGTGGCTGGTGGAGGCACAGGGGCTGCTCTTCAGACCCACACGGGCTGTGTTCAAGTCTCAGCCTCATCACCAGTTAGTTCTGAGGCCTCGGGCAAGGCATCTGAACCGCTCATCTCAGAGCTGAGTTTTTCTTCTGTGAAACAATTATGCGTGTATCAGGCTTGGCACACATATTCCAGGTGGTTTGTGTAAAAGGGCCTGGCACTTGGTGTGTGCCAAATGTGTGGTCACTGCTGCTTTCACCGTGGAGGGGTCAAGTTCATCCTCCAGATGTGGTCTGGGAGCATCTGAGTGGAAGAGTTTTGGTCTCTTCAGGTGCTTGACCAATGGACAAGCCGCGTACCCCGTGAACTAACTCCATCCTCATTCCGTGTCTCTCTCCACCGTCCCTTTCCCTCCCAGGTATGGCCAAACGTGGACAAGTACGAGCTGTTTGAGAAGCTGGACCTGGTCAAGGGCCAGAAGCGGAAGGTGAAGGACAGGCTGAAGGCCTACGTGCGTGACCCCTACGCGCTGGACCTCATTGACAAGTTGCTGGTGCTGGATCCCGCACAGCGCATTGACAGCGACGACGCCCTCAACCACGACTTCTTCTGGTCCGACCCCATGCCCTCAGACCTCAAGGGCATGCTGTCCACCCACCTGACGTCCATGTTCGAGTACCTGGCGCCGCCTCGCCGGAAGGGCAGCCAGATCACCCAGCAGTCCACCAACCAGAGCCGCAATCCCGCCACTACCAACCAGACAGAGTTTGAGCGCGTCTTCTGAGGGCCGACCGCTATCGCTTTTCATTAGGGCTGTTTTATTTTTTCTTCTGCTACATGACCTGCAGTGTGGAGATGGTGGGGCATTTGAGTTGTTTCTCTAGTGCATATTTTATTTAATCCCCACCGTGGGCAGTACACTGGCTGAGTGGACTGGAGTAAAGCTTTGGCTGAAAGTCCAGGAGGACACTGGGGCTGCCTTCCCTGTTCCCTGGCTTTGGGATGACGCCCAGAGGGTCTCCGTTTACCTTAGGACAGGAATGGGTGGAAGGAGAGGTGCCACCAGTGACTTTTTCTACGAGTTCCCAGCATGATGGGAGGAGGGGACAGGTCCCTCACCCATCCCCAGCCCTCCTCTTGGGATGAGGAACTTGTGTAGTGGACAGAACCAGCCTCAGGAATGGGCTGCTCTTGGCCTGACCCCAGAAGCACTGGGGCTGGCAAAAACTCTTGGTTTCTTCAATAGGAGAATTTTGTCGTGTTTCTTTGGTTCGGTTGTTTGGAGACATTCCTGAATGCAGTTTATTACAGTTGGTCAGTTACAATTAAAGTTGACTCTTTTTTCAGTAAGTGGCTGTGTGCTCTGTGTTGAGACCCCCAGCTCATGACCCTGTGGCCAACAGGTTGGGCCTAACGGTTGAGATCTGATTGTCGAATCTTGGCTCTTCATCCCAGTTCATGCCCCTGATATAAAATTGCAGAGAACTTTTTTTTGTTTTTCTCTTGAGTACTTTCCAGAACACTTGCCATCATGTTCCCCAAAGGGCAGGTACCACGATGCTCCCTTGCTCCTCTCTGCTCTGTCACAAGACGAGGGAAGACAGATGAGAAAAGGGTCTCAATTCCCTGGTGAAGGAACTAGAGAGGGTCTCCTATGGGCTGCATCTGCAGTGGTGACCCAGGTGGGCACAGTCTACTGTGGCTGACAGACAGACGTATTTGAACTTGACTCGAGCCCAGGAGGCTGCAGAAGGCTCCTTAATCAGTGGAATGACAACGATCAGATCTGTAACTTGCAAAGGTCTCTCAGGCTGCTAAGTAGAGGGCAGCTTGGGGGAGGTGAGAGGAAGTGACCAGAAGAGTTGAAGGATCTACAGGGGTGGGGGTCAGGGGGAGGCAGTAGTTTGGATTAGGGTGGTGAATGGGTAGGAGAACAGGACGGTTAGTGTGAAGGTTGGATCATGAGGGTTTATCCAGCAGTATGTTCCGGTGGATACATTTCCCGTGTGTTGGAAGTTGAGGACAGGGGCTTTTGAGGCACATTCTACATTCTGGCACATGGGGGTCGGGGGGCTCTTGAAGGGGCCCAGGAAGGAAGGTTGGCAAAACCTTTTACCAGGACTGTCCTTAACTCGTAGATACTGACCCAGATCACAGCTTCACAAAAGGCCAGTAAAAGTGAAAAAAACTCGTTACCAGTGTATTAGTTTTTCAGGGCTGCTGTAACAGATTACACAAACTGGGTAGCTTACATAACAACAGAAATTTATTCTCTCACAGTTCCAGAGGCTAGAAGCCTGAAATCCAGATGTTGGCAGGGTTAGTTCCTTCTGAAGCCTCTGAGAGAGAGTGTTCCGGGCCTCTCTCCTGGCTTCTGGTGACGGTTGGCCATCCTTGTAGATGCATCATTCCAATCTCTGCCTCTGTCTTCACATGGTGTTCTCCCCTCTGTGTGCTTCTGTCTCTCTCATGAGGACACCAGTCATTGGATTTAGGATCCACCTTGATCCAGTATGACCTCATCTTAACCAGTTACATTTGCAAAGACCTTCTCTTCAAATAAGGTCACAGTCTGAGGTTTCAGTGGACGTGAGTTTTGCGAGAACACTATTCAAGTCACTACAGCTAGTAATCAAAGAAATCCAAATTAAAACAACAGCAAGGTGGGGGCCGGCCCCGTGGCGTATCGGTTAAGTGCTGGCGCTCCGCTGCTGATGGCCCAAGTTTGGATCCCAGGCGTGCACCGATGTACCGCTTGTCAGGCCATGCTGTGGCCGCATGCCACATAAAGTGGAGGAAGATGGGTATGGTTATTAGCTCAGGGCCAGTCGTCCTCAGCAAAAAGAGGAGGATTGGCATGGATGTTAGCTCAGGGCTGATCTTCCTCACAAAAAACAATAGCAACAACAAAAAACAGCAAGGTGTCCTAATGGCTATCAAGTCAATAGGTTTTGAATGACAGATAACTGGTGTGGGAAAACTCACAGGGCTGGCCTAATTGTTCAAGGTGCGGTTTTTTTCTCTGAAGGATGAAAATTTAAAAGGCTCGTATTCTTTGACCCAGCAATTCCACTCACAGAAATTTCTTAGGAGCAGTTGTGCAGTGATAGTCCATTATCTCATTAAGTTCTCACTACAGCTCTGACAATTTCATTCTTTCCTTCAATGTGTATTTATTGGCTGTGTCTTCCAAGGGCCAGACTTTTCTTTTTTTTTTTTTTTAATTTTATTTATTTATTTTTTCCCCAAAGCCCCAGTAGATAGTTGTAGTCATAGTTGCACAGCCTTCTAGTTGCTGTATGTGGGACGCGGCCTCAGCATGGCCGGAGAAGCGGTGCGTCGGTGTGCGCCCGGGATTGAACCCGGGCCGCCAGCAGCGGAGTGCTCGCACTTAACCGCTAAGCCACGGGGCCGAGGGCCAGACTTTTCTAGAATCAATGCAGCTACAAAGCAGTGGCCACCCTCACCCTTATGGAACTTGCATTCTATCTAGTAGGTTCAAACTAGTCTGATGGGGTAAGGTCTGTGGAAGACAACAAAGTGGAATATGAGGGGAGAGGAGTAGCATCAGTTGAGGGGACCAGGATGACGTGGAAGCAGGAATCCAGAGAGATGGGGGATGTGTAGGGGTGGAGGGTGGACACAAACGCCAAGGTCCCAAGGCTAGAAAGCCTTCACAGCGCTTTGGGCAGAGGGGACATGGTCTGATGTTTTAAAATATCACAGTGACTCTTGAAAAAAACCAAGGAGGCGAAGCTGGAGGCAGGGAGACGAGTTAGGGCTGTTGTAATAATCTGGGCGTATGATGATTGATGGTGGCTTGGACCAAGCTGGTACTGAAGCTGGTGGCGAGGGATGCTTGCACTTACGGCTTACTTTGAGGGCAAATCTAACAGGATTTGCTTTCAGGTTGGATGTGAGTGTGAGTGAAAGAGGAGTTGAGTCCCAGGCTTTGGCTGGAGTGAGGATGGGGCTGCCATCCTTGAGACAGAAGGCTATGGTGGGTCAGCATAGGTTTTTCAGCATGGTAAGTTGGAGATGACAGGTGGACATCCAGGTTGAGTTGACAGATGTATATCTGAGTCTAGTTCGGGGCCCAAAAAGTCTGGGCTATAGACACACCCTTGGGAGTTGCCAGCTTGTGATGGTGTTGAAAGTCCCAAGGCAGGCTGGGATCAGGTGAGAGGAGGGGAGAACGGAGACATGGCCCACGGGAGCACCCAGTGTTTACACGTCTTGTTAAGGAATCAAGGGGCCGGCCAGGTGGCGCAAGCGGTTGGGTGCGCACGCTCCGCTGTGGCAGCCCTGGGTTCGCCGGTTCGGATCCTGGGCGCGCACCGACGCACCGCTTGGCAAGCCATGCTGTGGCGGCGTCCCATATAAAGTCGAGGAAGATGGGCACGGATGTTAGCCCAGGGCCAGTCTTCCTCAGCAAAAAAAGAGGAGGGTTGGCAGATGTTAGCATAGGGCTGATCTCCTCACAAAAAAAAAAAAAAAAAAGGAATGGAGGGCAGCAGCAGAGGAAGTAAGAAGAGAGCAGAGGGAGAGGGTGTTGGGGAAGAGGGCGTGGCCACTGAGACCAGTGCTGCTGATGGGTCCAGAAGGCAGGAGTGAGGACTGATCACTGGGTTTAGCCACTTTGAGGTCAGTTGTGACCTTGGCAAGAGTCTTTGGGTGGAGTGCTCCTGATGAAACCCTGACAGAGCATTAGGATCACTGGAGAACAGGAGGAAGGGAACGGAAGGCAAGAAGTAGCCGCAGTCTACCATCAAGGAGGATTAGGGATCAAGCTAGTCTTGTATATTCTAGGAGGACAGCCATGACATCATGGAATGACCCGGTAGAGAGGGCATGTGTTGATTCTTGTCCACTGTACCTAAGGGCCATGTGGCTGAGTGTACAGTGGCCACACCAAGGCTGTAACCTCAAGGCCGCACCCCTAACCTGTTCTCTGCTACCTCCAGCCAGTGTGTCCGCGATGTTCAGGGCAGCCCCGTGTGTGGAAAAGCTGAAAAAGCATAAACCTCCATCAGCTTAAATAAATTAGAGCAGCGCTTCTCCGCCTTCAGTGCACGTCCCAATCTCAACCCACAGGTCTGGGCGGGGCGCCTCTAACAAGCTGACGGGTGATGCCCACGCTGCTGCTGGGGATCTGGGCAGCACGGACAGGGCACGGCTCTGTGCTGGAATGCCGGGCAGTGTGAACAAGGGTGGAGACGTATATGCGTTCCAAATACAACAGGTGGGAAGAGTGGCTTACAAATTATCTGCCCCGGCTCATTTTGTAAGAGAAACGGAAGCAATCACGCTAAAACAATACCCGTGGCTATTTTGGGTGATTCTGTTCTTTATGCTTGTCTGTGTCTTATTATATTTCCTTAATATTTTTATTCATCCAGTCAAATCATATTTTAAAACAACCAAAGCCGGCCTAAACCCCAGAGCGGCTGGCTCCGAGCTGCCCCCCACAGAACACCCGGGAGAGGAGGCCGGGACTAGCAGGGCAGGTGTGGGTCTGCCCCGCTTCAGCCTGGAACCCTTGTGTGACGGGGTGTCATCCCCATTTGTGGAAGGAGGTGCATGGCTCAGGATAAAAGCTCCCAGAGGGCGGGGTCTTGGGGGGCTTTACCCCAGGCACCTAGGTGCCTGGCACCTGTGAGTCTCAAATACCCGAGTGAGTCAGCCAAGGGCCCACTGAGTGGATGATTGAAGAGGCTGTGGAAACCGGAAGGGCCTTTACCAGCTCATCTGGACGGGCCCTCCATGTCACCCTGCAGGCCACGGAATGGGTTTGTGACCTGGCCTCTTTTTGACCAAATGATTTGGTGAAACACAGCTCTTTCCCCCAGCAAGCTCCTTGATTCCTAGGTCAAGGGCGCCTCTGTGTCCTGCCCCTGCCCCCCAGGGCTCCTAGCCTGGGAGGGCCAGGGCAAAGGGCCCTAACAGTAAGGAGAGGTGGGCTGTGATGAGGGGGCTGGGAGAGAGGCCAGATGAAGCCAGCTCCGCTCTGCAGGAAGCCCAGCCCAGGGGCTGCAAGTCCCTGAAGTCCCCTCCCCCAGCGGCCCTCCTGCCTGCTCACCTTTAACCTCCGCCCAGTTGTTATTTAACTCACGGGAGATTCTGACTAGTCCTGCACTCCCACAACCTGCCAGAGAGGTCCCTGGGCAGATCCCAGGATGAGAGCGGGAACCCATCAGGTAAGACCTTCCTGCACACTAGGGGACCCCCTAAGGGCCATGGGAATGGGAGAAGGCAAGGTTTGGGAATCCCCCCCAACTCCCCCTCCCCTCTCTGGCCCAGCTGGAGCGCGGGCAGAGGGGCCTTGGCAGAGGTGCCACCTGTGAATCACT